AGAGATGTTAATCTGTGTAGATAGCTTACAAATTAGATTTAAATTTGAGTAAAACTAGTAAAATTTCAGAATACATTCAGTCAAGAAAGACTGCATTGTCTAGCAAATCCTAAATATACCAGTCAAATGAGATTAACACCAATTCATAACTTCACTCCATGGCAACAATCAAACAATTACCACTCATTCTATTCATCTATATGTTTAGGCCCAAATTAATCTAGCTTCGAGAAGGCTCCTCCTTCTCCAGAACCCATTAAAGAAAGTATATAATACTGTTGTTTTGTCAGTTTTTGATTATGTGCTCTGAAAGGAATATGCATCTAGTTTAATAATAAAGAATCAGCTGTATATTTTATTGAATTCATTGACTTTATTTTTAAAAGTTTGTATTGGGCCCCTCTCTCCATTTTTTTTTTTTTTTTTTTTTTTTTTCTTTTTCTGGCATATTTTACCAGGAAAACTTGTTTGTACAGGATGCAGCAGAAATACCTCCCACATTTTAAAGATTGACAAAGACACCAAGGTAACTGTTATTAAAAAATTTATTCTACTGCTGTTTAAACAAAGGGCTACAGTTTTCATTTATTGCATTTTAAAAGTAACATTCTCCAAATGGTGGCCTCTATTCACCATACACTGTTGTAGATGATTTCTACAGCTTGGGCATTTCCTGGATTTAGAGAACTTTGTGATTTTCCAGGTAGCTGGCTTTCTTTTTGGCTCTGAAATTTTCAACCCCTAGAAGTATCGATTTTCTATCAATTTCGACATGAAATGAACACTGAAAGCTCTGTGTTGTAATTACAAATTCAACATTCTTCACCAGCAAATACTGTGTGCACCAGTTCCTGAAAAAAAATAAATCATTAGCTAGATGAAGACCCCATTGCCACTTGCCTAAGTTCACTAGCAGGTAACAGTTTCAAATGTGGGAGGTATTTCTGCCACACCCTGTATAACCAATGATATAATGGGCAAGATTTATTAAACATTCAAGCTATTCATTCTAATTAAGACATATCAAAAGAGCTTATGATCAAGAAGGTCATATTCACAATGGGTGAACTACAGAAGGCTGTAAGAAGCAATCCAAAATGGGGAAAGCTTGTGGACTCAATGAGATACCAGCTGATGTATAGAAACTAGGTTAATTCCATAATGTCATTTTAGAACTTTGCAACAGTGTTTACAATCCTGACCCTATAGACAGATGGAGGGGTACCGGCTTCTGTTTCCCAAAAAGGGGCAACCTTGGACTCACAAGGAACTATTGTGGTACCTCATTAACAGCTATTGCAGCAAAAATCTACAACCTGATGTTGCAGAACAGAATAAAACCTGAACTTGAGCCAATAGTGAGGAAAAACCAAAACAGTTTCTGCACTAACAGATCAAACATCAGGACAGATTTTTAACATTCAATGAATCTTGGAAGGCATACAATCCAAAAAATTTCCAACCACCCTCCTGTTTGTTGACTTCTCAAAGGCATTTGACTCCATTCCTCATGGGAAGATGAAAGAAATACTGCTTGTATATGGGGTACCTAAGGAAACTGTAGATGCCATCATAATACTGTATCAGAACACCTGTTCCATGGCATGCTCAACTAATGGAGACGCACAGTTTTTTTATATTACTGCAAGAGTCCTTCAGGGAAACATACTTGCGCCTTTTCTCTTCATCTTGACTATGGGCTGAGAAAAGCCCTAGATAGGAACTTGCAGCTTGGCTTCACTCTCCCTGAACGAAAAAGCAGATGCTACCCAGCCCAGATGATCACTGATGCTGACAACCTAGCAATACTGGCTGATTATCTTCAATTACAGATAAAATTTATTGTTGGTCATTTTACTATAAATAGGTATTGTTAATAATTTTTATACTTTCATAGTGTGTTTTTGTTTCCATGTTTGTTTTTGTTTGGGGGTTCACTATTTGTTCATGACTGGAACCCTAACAGGTGCTACCACCCCATGAAAGGAACCACTTTTGAAAATATTCTTTCATAAAATATGTTACTCTTTGGTGCCTAATACAGGGTGAGGTCTTGATAAAAGGTTGTTAAATTAATCAGCAAGGTAATCTTAATAAGCTCAGTCGTGGAGTGGGAAAATCTCTTAAAATAAAAAATAAATAAATAAACCCCATTAAGTCTATTAGACACCTAAGAAAAAATATATATTAATTGTATGTATTCTGACCATGGATTATTAGCCAAATCATTAATTCATAATATATACTTCATGTATAGGTCAGCTCAAGTTATCTAGGGTAATAGAAAAACAAGTTAGTATAGGCTATACATTTCACAACTTAGGATTTATCAGGACATCTATTCTGGCAACAGTACCTTCACTCAACAGTTGGTGGTGTATATAGTATAAGGTTATCGTTTGTACAGAGAAGTGTAAAAATATCAAAATGATTTTATTTTTCTTATTTTCTATGGTAACCCAGTTATGTTACATATGGTAATTTTAAATTTTGATTTGTTGCATTGTCAGAAAGGTCTACTCTTCTATTTTTAAATATTTTATTAGCCTTTTGTTTCACCAAATAAAATAATTAGGATATTGAAGTATCTTAAAAGTATTTTCAATGTATTGTTTGTCTTTTCGTAAATATTGAGAGCTACAAATTCTGAGTGCTCTTAAATAGAATCTGATTAATCCAGATTTTATTTTGTCATTATGGTGAGAATAGAAATTTATGATCATTTTTATTAATTGATTTGTGATGGACACTTAATTTTAGGCTATTGTTACAATATTGTAACATGATATCTAATTTACTTACGAAATTCAAACAAACAACATTTTACCTTTCCTAGATGTCATATTACATCATAGTGACAACAGCGTAAAACTAAGTCTTGATTGCAAATCAACTAATAAAAATGATCTCATAAATTTCTATTCTCACTATAACAACAAAATAAAATCCAGAATAATCATCAGATTCTATTTAAGAGTACTCAGTTTGTATCACTTAATATTAACATGAAGAGGAGAAATACAGTGGAAATAGCTTTAAGCTCTTCCAATACCCTAACTTTCATATTCAACACAAAACAAAGTTCATAAAATATTTCAAAATATAAGAGTGGACCTTTCTAACATATGGTAATTGTCTAAGTTGTATAAGGATTCATGTAACAGTCATATAATCAATGTAAAATGGTTACTTTCCTTTGACAAAGTATAGATCTATTTAGAGGATGCACTTTAAAATCTATTTTAAGTAAGCTCAAACATCATCATTTTGTTCATTCCATTCCTCTCATGGTACTAGTAATGGTATTAGCCATTTCCATACAAGGAAAATTTAGCCTTCATTGACCAAGTAACGAGTACTGCTTTCAGTTGAAATTTATAAAATCTCTCTTTTAAAACACTTTTTCAAGAAAACAGGTTTCTCAACTCAAGTAACTGTTATTGCTCTTTCCAATATTGAAGGGGGTTTCCTTTCTAACCTTTTATTTAAAATAATGTGGAACCCATGATCTTTATTAATTTTTCAAACAAGTGTTGTTTCTTAGTTGATCCACTTATATTTTAGTTAGTCTTCTGCATTTGTTTCTGCAAGAATACTTTATTAATGGCTCTATTTTGTTCCTCCAAATGGGCCTAGTGATTGCAATTTTCTCATTTGTAAGGATTCCATCTCATTTTTACAGTTTTTCATAAAGCTTCTTATTTTTATGTCAATCGATTTCACCCAAGCAAAGGCAGTAAAGCAAGGTGACAGGGTGTGGAAGAATTAGAACAGAAACATTACTAATGAACAGGAAGAGGACAATAGATAGCGATTGAGATTGCATTTAAATTTTTGCATATTAAAGTTGGCTCGAAAGCATGGAGCTGGAAGGAATTTCTACAAGCAAAAAGTGCAAGAAAATAAACTGTTAACATAGAATTTACGACTACATCTAACCAACTCAACTGTAAATTGGTGAGATCTTGAAGCCGGTCTCATACTGCACTTAAATTCAAAAAGTCTAGGTACCCTAGTAAAGAGCACATCCAAACAATTACCATGGAAATATTTATATAAAAGGCACAGGTAGGCAACTTTATGGCGGTGGGAAAGTGACTGGAACTGAACTGCCAGATCAGGACCAATAATATTGCTGATTCTTCTATAGATTTTATCAAGAAGCTCAAGGTAAATAGCAGATGCACTGGACCATATGTGGCTGCAATATTCTAAGCATGGATGAATGGTAGACATAGATATGTAAGATAGATTCTGGAGAGATAAATTGTCTCACATGACACAGTGAACAAACTTTCTTAGCAGCTGACCTAGCAATGGATTCAATATAGTCTTTCCACTTCATGTCAGCTGGGAACATTAGCCCAAGAAGGCACACCAATCACTTTCTTGGAAGTTATCATCAGCCATGCTGATGGAAGGCAGAGCGGGATCTCTCAGATGATTAATGGAGAGAAGTTTAGTTTTGGAGGTGTTAAAATTAAAATCTTTTTTTTCTTTTCTTTTTTTTTCTTTTTTTCTTTTTTTTTTTTTTTTTGCTCTGTGCTCTATGATACATAAGTATAACTTAAGAATTCTATGTTCTGTCAAGTGATGCACTATTCTCTTTTTTATTAAAGTCCACTTTCAGCACTGTAGAGCAGCATGCTTTCCATTATGAATCAAAAGAAACTTATTTTCAAATACTTCTGAGGATTCTGCTTACATGCCCTTTCCATTTATTGTCAAATTCATTTGTTTTTTATGGTTTATCAACTTTTTCACGGGTTATTTAAACCAAGAATATTTATAGATAGTAAGAATTTTTTTATCAAAAATAATGATTTAGTGATATAAGTCCTACTAATTAACCCATATCTGGTGAGAAAAAAGGTAGATTAATGCCTTTCCAAAGGGTATTTGCATTTAAGTGACTACAACAAACCTGGCTGGAATTGGAACTCTGATCTCAGAGCTTCAATTCTGAACTGTTATCCATTACATCACCTGAACATCTAACCTTACAACAACTTGTATTCTCAAGAGGTCACTCATCTCAGTACTGACCAGGCTTGATAAAGCTTAACTTAGGTGATCGTGTGAGAACCAGTGTTTTAAGATGATATGGCCATAAGCCATTTACTTTCAAATACAATAATGCCACTAAGACACAAGGGGTTACTGGGAATGAAAGAGAATGTGATGACTTTAGTGAGGAGAAAGGATAATTAAAGAACAGGATTTAGGACAACTGAAGATGGTGATAATGTCACTAAGGTGCAAGGAAGACAATAAAAGAATAGTTTCAGGAAGACAGAAGATGGCTACTGGCATTGTATTTAAATTTTTGAAGATTGTAGGTGCCAAGCAAGCAAGAAATCAGAAGGGAGTTCCTCAGGCGAGAAGTGTGAAAAAAGAAACTATTAGAATAGAATGTATGGTTGCATCTAGCTAGTTCAACAGTAGAATGGTGAGACCTAATTGCCAATCTAGTAGTACTCTTAAATTCATGCAGTTGAGACACCAAGGCGAAAAGCTTACCAAAACAATTGCAATGAAAAATATTGTTTTGCAACATAAGACAACTCTACCAATCAGCTCATCAAGGCAAGACATAGTGACAATATGATAAACTCTGCCACCAAAGTGACTTGGTTTAATTTATTGAGCAAAGAAAATGACACCATTCTGATATCTCTATTTGTCTGACTGATACAACAGGCTGCTGCTTTCAATTTTCTCACTCTCCAGCAGTGCACTTCTTCATCAATTACCTGGACTAGAAAATAATGTGTGCCCTTATCTCTTGATGCCAAATTTATCTACCTCACCTTTGAATATGGCTTTAAGAGGATGGCTGCTTTCTCCTTTGTATTCTTTTCCAACAGTTGTATGAGATGCTAGAAATATGATCTTTAGTCACTTATAAAGCACAACTTAAGTAAGAAAGTTTCAAAGAGTGGATTAGCCATTAAAACCCACTCTGGTGCTGTAATGTCTGAATAACCATTACATCTTTTCAGCTTGTATATTGTATGCTTACCTGCAGCTACAGTTGATGACTTTGGGGTTTAGCTATGTTATTTCCCATCAGAGAAACAGATAACAGCACCAGCTACACAAACAGTAAGTTCAATTATCCAAACATATCTTGGAATGATCAAACATCTTGGATATAAAGCGAAAAATAATGTTCCATTATTAGCTCATTAATTCCAATCAGAAAAAACCCGGTATTATATAAGTCCAGCGTTAATTATAAGTTTATAAAATGTATTAATTATAGGTTTCTCTTGGTGACTAATTAAAGCTCCCCCCTCTCCTCCCCAAAAAATAGCATTTTTCATTGAATGATTTATTGACTTTTTTGTTAAATTAATAAAGATGGAGTTTCAAAAATTACTTTTTAAAATTACAGAAGAGTTATACATTAAGGCTGACTGGAATATCAAATATGAATTTATAAAAATGTAAATTTTCAGATATAGCAATATAGAATTAAAATTTCTTTTGATTTGACTTGTCTAAAAAAAATTAAATAAAATTTGTCACTTTATAAAAGTTATGTTAAATACCACTTCCTGTTGCAGAATAGGATTAAATATATTTAGGTCAGGAATTTATGCAATCATGTAAAGTGTGTGTCTGTCTCTCTCTCTCTAACAAACTCACTCACATGAGGAGGGAGAGGTTAGAAAATTTTATGTTGACCTACTTAGGTTTGGTTATGAAAATACTAATTTTTGAGAAGTGGGTCAGGCTCAAAACTTTTCAGCACCTCTCTCATTCATTTATTCATACATACATATACATGTATGTATAATTTTATTCTTTTTATGTATACAAAATAATTACATAACTGTACTTTTTCCCAACTCGGCAGTTTTGTGGCAATAAGTCCACTTTTAAAAGGGTTAATCCATATATTAAATATTTCCAATTGTACTGAATATCCGTTTTGTTTTTTGTTTTTTTTTGTTTTCAATTTTCATATTTGCATCTGTTTATTGTGTTTTGGGGTTTTTTTAGCTACCTTATAGATATGCACATGTTGACGTTTTTGCATGTGCTCACGTATTCCTTCATAAACATAATTGTTTTTCAATTGTATATTTTTCATTGTTATTTTTTTGTATGCATATATTTGTTATATATATATATATATATATATATATATATTGTTTATTGTATTATTATTTAATTTATATTATTTTCTGTTGTATTTATTATATTAGTATGTATGCTGCAAAGTAAATATTTATTAAAATGTCTGCATTTACCCATTAATTCATTTCCCTTGATTAAGAATTTAATTTGATTATTGAAGTTTATTTTTCTTCAAAAGACAATCTACATTTTCTATTATTAATATTATATGGTGGTACTTTTTATGATTTTCCCATTTAATTTTAGTTAATATATTTTTCTTTTTGACTTGTATATATAATGGCTGGCTACTCATCTTTGGGGATGCCCATCTACTAGCTAATCCCTAATGTAGATGCTTGCTCAGGCACATTTCTGTTTGTTCAACACCCACAGAGCCCACCTGTGATTTATACAGCAACTATGCTGAGCCGACATTAGTTACAGTTTCTGGAAGCAAGTATGTTATCTAGCATGATTAACAATCTAAACAAGGCCAGTATGCTCAAACCCTCAGTCACAATGACTTGTCACTTTGTGCTAGCATAGCCATCAACAACCCCCAAATGCTCCATCTACCCAATTTCACTGACAAGGCTTGGGTTAACCCATGGTATGTTTTTCGGGCACTTTCCAAAGGTCTTGCATGCTGGGATCACCTCCTCCAAACCAATAACATCAGGAAGTCACCTTCCTGACAAATTGACCCTGGTGAGATACCTTCACAGAAATGTGATACTTATGGTGTTTTCTAAATGGATGTCTAAAATTTTCTTGGAACTTTTATTTTAGTTTGAATTTCAAGCTAATAGATTAAATTTAATATTTCAATACACAAAATACTTGCTGGATTTCAAAACTAATTTAAATTAATTGAAAGGTGTTTTAATTTTGAAATTGCTTAAATTAGCACCATTTTTGCCATCTGTCAACACAATGTAATTCTCTTTATTAATAAATTGTTAAAAAAGATACTTTTCTAAAATTTTATTTTAGGAATATTAGCTAATTTAAAGTTTATTTGTATTTTTCAATACTGGTAGCTGTTTATTTAAAGTGTTGACAACTTGACTGACAGATGGAAACTTATCTAATATCTGTAAAAATTATTTTAGGAATATAACGTGAGTGCCTTTATGTAATTTTTAACTCCCCAGTAATATTAAAACTTTATGAAAATATTCTTCGTTATCTAATGTTTATTGAATTTTAGATACTTTGGTTTTAAATTTACTGTAGTTATTGCTCTTATTTTCTGATAATGTTATGGAAGCCTATATTTACAAAAATCAGCACGTTTATACAAACACAAAAATAATTCAAAATACTTTGTAAAATATTGTGGGCCACTGAATTGTAGTAAGCTTTTCCATCTTATGATTAGTAAATGTAGTTTTTATGTATTAACAATATCACCTAACCAATACAAATTAATACAGAAGTTTAAAAAAATTTAATTTTATAAGTTATTCAACTTAACATTTTAAAAAAAATGAACACAATTCTTGTAAAAATTCATTATTCATCAAAAAAAATATTTTCATAAGACAATAGTGTCCATAATATATTTTACTCATAAAAGCAATTAAAAACTGTTCTAATTAAATGATGTCTTAGTTTTATTGCACTTTTTATTTTACAATTTAGAGCAGATTTGTTTTACAAAAAAAAAACAAATTTAAATTCTCCAAGGAGTTCTGCTTTTAGCTAATATTAACATTAAGCTGTACAAAAATTAATTTCTCAATTTAATAAAATTTAATAAGTGTGGGATAAATTAAAAAAAAAAAAAGAAACATTTCTAGAATAATTAAATTCATTTGTAAATAAGTCCTAAGTTAAATTAAAATTTGACAATTATTTGATTTTTGAAAGAATTTCAAAATCAATGTGTTTTTCACCACAAAAAACACTAAAATTTCCTATACTAATCTTTGATCCGTCTGTTGACACAGGAAAAATAATATTTTTAGCCAAAATTTCAAACGTTTCAAAAAGGATAAAAAGTATAATTTAATAATCAAAATATCCTTTGGTCTTTTCTCACAATGGATTTTGATGATAAACATTGTTTTTATTAAGTTTGGGGAATTTTTTCATCAAGGTATTTCATTTTTTAGCCAATCTGTAGGGGACCTATCATATATATAGGGGGATACAAAACTAATGCCACCTATTTATTTCTGTGTAAACTACGAAAGATACAGGGATTCCAGTAATACTACTGGATAAAGTTTTTGCATACAAAACACTGTTTTCCCACACTCACCACCACTGCATTTTTTACAGAAATTAACCTGAGATCTTGATTTTATGTGCTACTAACTGTACATAACTGCCTAGAGAGTGGCTTCTCATATACACTGCTGTCACAACTGTTTAAACACATTACCCACTGCCTAACTGTTCTCATTATTTGATCACCATAAGTATTTATTAATGTTAATGAATGCATTTTTTTTATACATGTAGGAATTAAGTGATATTTCTTGGCAGCACCCGCTCACATTCAAATATCAAGATCATCATCTTCTCTCCCTTTCTCTCCTCCTGGTGACAGTGGTGGAGATGGCTGAGAGTCAAAGAGTTTGATGAGGCCATTCACATGAATGATTTCCTTGGACAATGCTGTGCAACAGAAGACCACACACTTGGCTAAAATTGCCTCCCTCATGGCTCAAAGGGGATTGAGACAGGCGCTCCTACTCCTGTAGGGCCACCCGTAGCAGTAGGTCCAGGAGGAAAGACTAGACTGAATGCGCCCAATTCCCGAAGAGCCCAACCGTGGAATCGGCAAAGATTACATGATCTCAACGGCCAAACCAGTGGAAGAAGGCAGTGCTAGTTGAGTTGGCATAAGGTGGACCTTGACAGACCAAACATCTGACAGCTCAATGCAACCAGTGCAAAATCTCACCTGTCTAAGTGATATATCTCTGCTTTATTTGCACTTTTATATCAGATGCCATGGTGTTCCACCCCGAAAC